CGGGACACACTCCACTTCGGGTTCTTCCTCCTGGGAAGGATCCGAGCGAAACACCGCGGAGCCAGCATACGCAAAGTGCCGCTCTCTCCCCTCCCGGGCGAGAGCGAGACACGCTCTGCAGCTAGCTTATTCCTGGTAATGGCGGACCCCCAGGCACAAGAAACACTGGTCGTGCCGGTCCTTGCGGTGAAGGTATATTCGGCAGACGTCGCACCTACCTCGTCCGAAGCCGGAGGTCGAAGGTCTCTTCGGACGAGCAGGAGAAGGCAGCGACATCCTCAGTCTTCAGTCTTGAACGGTGAGTAGATCTCTCTATGGCGCCAGAGTTCAAAGTGGCAGGTGCGGGCTGTAGAGGGCTATTTATAGATGGGACTGGCACGTGATTGGAGCATTGAGTTCTCTCTGGCGGGAGGCTGGGAGCCTCTGAGTTACCCATAGCGTAGCCTTCTAAGGGGTGGAGCACCATGACATAGAATTTGCAGATGACACAACCATTACTTGTTCTGGGGATAATCTTGAGCAACTTGTATCCCAAGCATCAACTGAATTAAGTCAATTGAAAACACGAATCAAAGAAATGTACACCATAACCAACAGCAGACACATTTACACACATTGGCATTCAACGATACGTTTTACTGTGTGAAGATGGCTTTTAGTATAGTTCCTTTGTTGGTAAAGTAAACACGTGGTCCTGGTCTCTGGAGGAAGTTTCTTTGTTGTTGTTCTCCGTGGCTGTTTGGCGTGGCGTCCCATCCGGCTTGTTGTTGTACAGGGAAGAAGGCAGTTAATCAAACTTAGAGGAGCAAAGTTCAGAGATCATTCGCGCGAGTCCAGCTCACGGGCACAGAAACTTGCAGGAGCAGGCCACCACAGAAGAGGCGAAGAGCAGAAGAGAACAAGCGAGCCAAGAGAGCGCGCGCAGCGTTCCAATTGTTTTTGTCTCCGGCTCTTTCACAACACAAAAACATTTGCGCCTGCAGTTTTAGTGAGATGTATTAAATATAATTGTGTGAGATTTCATAACATTTTGAAGCAACTTTTGTTAAAGTTAAACTCATCATTCTATCACTGTGCAGAAGCGAGTACTTTTCCCTTGTTTTGTCTATCTGAAGGCCAAGCTACAAGCACACTGTGGCAGCTGCTGATTGGAGGTCTCCATGTCTCCGCTCTGTATAATACACTTGCATTATCTTGTATCTGTGATCGTGTGCTTTGTTCGTGCTGTCTCTACCATCGACAATAAAACATGTCTTCTGTCTGAATTAAAGACGCAATCCCAGACATGTCATTTTCTTCAATTGTTTAAAGCACAAACACTTCAAAAGACATCGTGACTCACAATTCAATAAAGATGAATGACAACAGAGATGCAGGTTTACATTTAGAAGCATAGATGCATTTACAGTACACTTAAGTTTGAAATGTGTGTAGTCCTTTGTTGCCGCTAGGGGGCGCTAAAATCAAAGTCTTAGAGAGTCCAAATCCCATTTGCAGAGGGCGTCCTCCCCCGTGGTGAGACTGACGCGGAATGTCTTTGATGCTTGTCTGTCTCGATGGGGGAGACAGTGGTCACTGTCCTGGAACACCAGGGGAATACACAGATGCCTTTGATGATGGTGTTTCTCCACAGAGGCCACTGTGTGTTTTAATGTAATTAGAGTCTTAGCGTCTGTGGTAGGTGTTGGCAGCGTCTGGTGATCAGAATCTTATCTTACATACTGTATATCTGCAACTTGTCCTTTTTATCTGGTAAATTTCCAAACAAAATGAAAATTGCAAAGGTTCTTCCATTATACAAAAAGTGGGACAAGCACATTTTTACAAAATATAGACCAGTCTCTTTGCTTCCGCAATTTTCAAAAATTCTCGAAAAACTCTATGATAACAGATTAGAGTGCTTTATAGAAGAATGTGACATATTAAATGAGGGACAATATGGATTTCGGAGATCGACAACCATGGCAATTATTGAAGCTGTGGAAGAGATTAACAATGCATTAGACAAGAAAAAGCTTGCACTGGGCATATTTATAGATCTAAAGAAAGCTTTTGACACAATTAATCATTCACTATTGTAAAAAAAAAACTGGCAACATATGGAATTAGAGGAGTTGCCCTTAAATCCAAGAGAGGACGGAGGATTTGGTCCAGACGTGGAATCGATCGGCCGGTGTCTGTAGTGATACCAGATCTGAGTGTGCTTGTGCGGTCTGGACCAGAGCCAGGTCTAAATCCGGTCCTGGTTTGGTGTTTGGTTCGGTCTCTGTGGACTCTGCTCAGTCCAGCAACACTGTGGAGGAAGGTCTGGAGCCAGGCTAAAATAAGAAAGAAACTAAAGCAGATTTCGAGAGTCCAAATATAAAGAGTGTGAGTGTGTGTGTGGAGAGAGATGTCTGGGCGTCTCTGCTGCTGCCTCCGCAACCTGGCAACGGATATAGCGGAAGAAAATGGATGGACGTAAGAAGGGTCCCGTGATCAAAGCCCACATCTGGCGATAATTTGTGCAACGAGAAATCGCTCCATCCGCTTCTTTGAGCTCGTGGTGCAGCTGTTTCTGGCTATTTATAACCTGAGACACATATGTATTACTGTATCTCTCATTCAGTGGTTATGATTAAAGGTTCTCAATCTGTGGAACCAGCTCTCTTAAAATGTAATTCTGTTTAAAACAGGACGGTGATAAGATAGGTCTCGTACAGTATTTCACACTGTAGACCCAGGACTGAAGGTTAAAACCAACTCCAGAGTTTCAAAGGAAGTCGTTTAAAGCTATAGCGTGAGTATCAAGGACCAGAAACCAGAGAGAGACTGAAGAGAGAGACCAGAAAGAGACCAGAGAGAGACTAGAAAGAGACTGAAGAGAGAGACCATAGAGAGACCAGAAAAAGACTGAAGAGAAGACCAGGGAGACAGATCAGAGCGTTAGTATCAAGGACCAGAAACCAGAAAGAGACAAGAGAGAGACTGAAGCGAGAGAGGAGAAAGACAGAACAGAGTGAGACCAGAGAGAGACCAGGGAAGGACCAAAAAGAGACTGAAGAGAGAGACCAGAGAGAGAGAGAAACCAGAGAGAGAGAGAAACCAGAGAGAGACAGAATACAGAGACAAGAGAGAGACCAAAGAGAGACCAGAGAGAGACCAGAGAGACACCAGAGAGAGACCAGAGAGAGACCAGAGAGAGAGACCAGAGAGAGAGACCAGAGAGAGACCAGAGAGAGACCGGAGAGAGGACAAAGAGAGAGTTGTGCTATCATTATGTAGTTTTGTCCTCTGTGGAACTCTGTGTAGTTTTAGAATGTTCTTCCCCTAGCGGCAGCCCAGAAACCAGTTGTTGTTGTGTCATCTTTCCTGCTTCTGGTTTGTGTTTCTGAACATTTTATTTAGTTTTTGTCAGAAAATTCCAAACTGTGGATGTTTTTCCGTCAGTGGAGGTCATTAGTCAGACAGCAATGTCCCCAGTGCCAAAGCCAGCACCTGTCAATCGGACACACAACTCACCACTACCCTCACACACATACACACACACAGACACAGACAGAAGCACACACACACACACACGCACACAGACGCACACAGAGACACAGACAGGAGCACACACACAGCAGATGCACACGCCCACGCACACAGACAGAAACAAACACATGCACACACACACTGATGTGCACACACACGCACACACACAGACACACACACACAACACACACACACGCGCGCAAACACACACACATTTGTTTTTCTCAGAGTAATGGCTTTGTTCAACTGCAAAACTAAGTGAGAAGTGGGGAGCTCTCCGTGGTCCTGAAATGCAGCTACTTCTATAATCTGTGATTTTAAAGGTGGATTTTTCACTTTTCAAACAACATAAAAAAACAATGTAAAAACTAGTCATGGCTCTATCACTACTTTCCACATATTTGTACGTTTGGCCTCTGTCACATCTTTAAATCAGCTAGACCAGAGAGAGACCAGAGAGAGAGACAAGAAAGAGAGAGGTCATACAGATAGACCAGAGAGAGAGACTAGAGAGACCAGAGAGAGAGATCGGAGAGAGAGATCGGAGAGAGAGATCGGAGAGAGAGATTGGAGAGAGAGATTGGAGAGAGAGATCGGAGAGAGAGATTGGAGAGAGAGATTGGAGAGAGAGACTAGAAAGACTAGAGAGACTAGAGAGACCAGAGGGACCAGAGAGACCAGAGAGAGAGATTGGAGAGAGAGACTAGAAAGACTAGAGAGACTAGAGAGACCAGAGGGACCAGAGAGAGAGAGAGAGAGAGACAGATGCATGTGAAAAACAGTGATAGAAGTGAACTGTGTGTAGTCCAGAACTAGAGACATGGATTTTATTATATTTTTATGGTTTCACAGTCATTTCTTCCAAACAGATCATAATAATTCCTTCATCTCGTTGAGTCTGAGCAGGACTTTCTTCGTCTCGTAAACAGCGCTCTGTGAACTCTCCATTGTTCAGGCTATTGTCGTCGTGGTAACAATGAAACAATGCTAACACACACAGAGCGCTAACCTGCTGTTGGCGAAGAGTGAATATTCAATGCCTTCATTTGGGAGAAAATGTGCAGCTTTTGTGGAGGATTGTGTGAGAGCGACATCATCACAGCTGTAGTCTGTTCATTTCTATTCACCCGCTGTCTCATTGTCTGTGTCATGGCGTGATGATGGAGTGTGTGTGTGTGTGTGTGTGTGTCCTTATTAGTAAGGGTCCAGTTGTTAGATAAACATTTATCCTACGTTCACACACAAGCACATCATAAACATAACCCTTCATGCAAGAGAAGAGAGGTGGAGAGAGAGAGGAGAAGAGATGAAAGAGGAGGGAGGAGAGAGGAGAGAGGAGAGAGGTGAGAGGGTGAGATGAGAAAGAGGAGAGAAGAAGAGGTCCGAGTCTGAGTCCGAGTCTCAGTCCAAGTCTCAGCCCGAGTCTCAGCCCGAGTCTTTTAGAATAATAAAGAATCCTCATGTATGTTTTGGGGTGCTCTCACCTGCCATGTCGGTGGCGAAGGGCCGGTCCGGTCTCCAGCCTGTGTACCAGCCCACCACCTTCCCTGCCACCACCAGGGGGCGCTCATAGGCCCGGCCCCCCACGAAGCCCACAGGCCACACAGACACACCTTTAGTGCTGCGCATCTGCAACAACACACATGAGCTGGGGTTAGAGTCCAGTTACAGAGAGAGAGATCAGAGAGAGACCAGAGAGAGAGACCAGAGAGAGAGAGACCAGAGAGAGAGAGACCAGAGAGAGAGAGAGATCAGAGAGAGAGACCAGAGAGAGACCAGAGAGAGAGAGACCAGAGAGAGAGAGACCAGAGAGAGAGAGACCAGAGAGAGAGAGAGATCAGAGAGAGAGACCAGAGAGAGAGACCAGAGAGAGAGAGACCAGGGAGAGAGAGACCAGAGAGAGAGAGACCAGAGAGAGAGACCAGAGAGAGAGACCAGAGAGAGAGACCAGAGAGAGAGAGACCAGGGAGAGAGAGACCAGAGAGAGAGAGAGACCAGATAGAGACCACAGAGAGACCAGAGCGCGAGCGAGCGAGAGACCAGAGAGCGAGACCAGAGAGCGAGACCAGAGAGCGAGACCAGAGAGCGAGACCAGAGAGCGAGACCAGAGAGCGAGACCAGAGAGCGAGACCAGAGAGAGAGACCAGAGAGAGAGACCAGAGAGAAAGGGACGGATGTATATCTAAATGGGGGAGATTGAGAAAGATACACAGAGCGAGATACTTTGAGCGAGATACATAGAGAGATACTTTCTTGATCCTGATTCAAGTGCACAGCAGCAGAGACATCTTTCATAGACACATGAACAAATACATAAATTCTAAAAGTCAACAAAGATGGTAATAAAGTAATAAAGTATTTAATTAATAAAGTATTTAAGTAAAAATATTTAAGTACTAAAGTGCAGATGTTTGAGAGGACATTATCCAACTTCATCATCTCTAAGTATCAGCACAAAGCAGCAGCAAAGTCTCAAAGTCAGGTCTAGATCCAGTCTCAGGTCTCAGCGATCACAAGAATCTGTCACGCAGAGAGGTGACTGAAGGACTCAGGATGCAGGACTGCCAAAATAAAACATAATTTATAAAATAAAAGTCCAGGTGAAAACAACTCAAAACACGGAACCAGGAACAAAGACGGAACTTGACAAAACAGGAGGTTGACAATGGACCAGCAACAAGAGGAGAGGAGCACAGGTACAGACACAGGTACAGACACAGGTACAGTCACAGGTACAGACACAGGTACCCCTAACCTGTGGAGTACCACAGGGGTCGATCCTGGGACCTCTTCTGTTCAATCTCTACATGCTGCCGTTAGGTCAGTTAATACGCAGAAACCAAGTGTCCTATCACAACTATGCAGACGACACTCAGATCTATGTCTCACTGACTGCAGGAGAACATGGACCAGTGGACTCACTCCTTCACTGTATCCAACAGATCAGTGAGTGGATGCAAAACAACTTCCTTCAGCTAAACGCAGACAAAACTGAAATGATTGTCTTTGGTCCCCAGAAACAAAGAGAGAGCGTCATCTGTCACCTCCAGTCTCTCTCCCTAAAACCTTCAAACAAGGTCAGAAATCTAGGGGTAATACTGGACTCAGACTTAAATTTTAATAGCCACATTAAATCAGTAACATCAGCAGCTTTTTACCATCTAAAAGACATTGCCAGGATCAAAAACATAGTGTCTAAAGCAGACCTGGAGATTCTTATCCATGCATTTGTCTCCAGTAGGTTAGACTACTGCAATGGCCTGCTCACAGGTCTGTCCAAACAGGCTGTAAAACAGCTGCAGTACATTCAAAATGCAGCAGCTCGAGTCCTGACAGGAACCAGGAAGTATGACCACATTAGTCCAGTCCTCAGGTCTCTGCACTGGCTTCCTGTGGCTCAGAGAATAGACTTTAAAACAGCTCTGCTTGTGTACAAGTCTCTCCATGGCCTCGCACCAAAATATATTAGTGACATGTTAGTCCCATATGAACCAGCCCGGACTCTGAGGAGCACAGGGACTGGACTCCTGCTGGGACTCTGAGGAGCACAGGGACTGGACTCCTGTTAGTGCCCAGAGTCAGAACTAAACATGGGGAGGCTGCTTTTCAGATTCATGCTGCTAAAATCTGGAACAGTCTTCCTGAAGATGTGAGACAGGCCTCCTCTCTGACAATGTTTAAAACCAGGTTAAAGACAGTTCTTTTTAGCTGTGCATACAACTGAGGGATTTTATATTTTTATCTTTCTTTTTAATGTTCTGTGATTATTTATGATTTTAATGCTTTCTTGTTTTGTTCAGCACTTTGAATTGCCTTGTGTATGAATTGTGCTATATAAATAAACTTGCCTTGCCTTACAGACACAGACACAGGTACAGACACAGGTACAGGTACAGACACAGGTACAGACACAGGTACAGACACAGACACAGGTACAGACACAGGTACAGACACAGGCACAGACACAGGTACAGGTACAGGTACAGACACAGGTACAGACACAGACACAGGTACAGACACAGGTACAGACACAGGTACAGGTACAGACACAGGTACAGACACAGGTACAGACACAGACACAGGTACAGACACAGACACAGGTACAGACACAGGTACAGACACAGACACAGGTACAGACACAGGTACAGACACAGGTACAGACACAGGTACAGACACAGACACAGGTACAGACACAGGTACAGACACAGGCACAGACACAGGCACAGACACAGGTACAGGTACAGACACAGGTACAGACACAGGTACAGACACAGGTACAGACACAGGTACAGACACAGGTACAGGTACAGACACAGGTACAGACACAGGTACAGACACAGACACAGGTACAGACACAGGTACAGACACAGGTACAGGTACAGGTACAGACACAGGTACAGACACAGACACAGGCACAGACACAGGAACAGCTACAGACACAGGTACAGACACAGGTACAGACACAGGCACAGACACAAGTACAGGTACAGACACAGGTACAGGTACAGGTACAGACACAGGTACAGACACAGGTACAGACACAGGTACAGACACAGGAACAGGTGCAGACACAGGTACAGACACAGGTACAAACACAGGTACAGACACAGGTACAGACACAGGTACAGACACAGGTACAGACACAGACACAGGCACAGACACAGGAACAGCTACAGACACAGGTACAGACACAGGTACAGACACAGGTACAGGTACAGACACAGGTACAGACACAGGTACAGGTACAGACACAGGTACAGACACAGGTACAGACACAGGTACAGACACAGGTACAGACACAGACACAGGCACAGACACAGGAACAGCTACAGACACAGGTACAGACACAGGTACAGGTACAGACACAGGTACAGACACAGGTACAGACACAGGAACAGGTGCAGACACAGGTACAGACACAGGTACAAACACAGGTACAGACACAGACACAGGTACAGACACAGGTACAGACACAGGTACAGACACAGGTACAGACACAGGAACAGGTGCAGACACAGGTGCAGACACAGGTACAGGTACAGGTACAGACACAGGTACAGACACAGACACAGGTACAGACACAGGTACAGACACAGGTACAGGTACAGACACAGGTACAGACACAGGTACAGACACAGACACAGGTACAGACACAGACACAGGTACAGACACAGGTACAGGTACAGGTACAGACACAGACACAGGTACAGACACAGGTACAGACACAGGTACAGACACAGGCACAGACACAGGCACAGACACAGGTACAGACACAGGTACAGACACAGGTACAGACACAGGTACAGACACAGGTACAGACACAGGTACAGGTACAGACACAGGTACAGACACAGGTACAGACACAGACACAGGTACAGGTACAGACACAGGTACAGGTACAGGTACAGACACAGGTACAGACACAGACACAGGCACAGACACAGGAACAGCTACAGACACAGGTACAGACACAGGTACAGACACAGGCACAGACACAGGTACAGGTACAGACACAGGTACAGACACAGGTACAGGTACAGGTACAGACACAGGTACAGACACAGGTACAGACACAGGTACAGACACAGGTACAGGTACAGGTACAGACACAGGTACAGACACAGACACAGGCACAGACACAGGAACAGCTACAGACACAGGTACAGACACAGGTACAGACACAGGTACAGGTACAGACACAGGTACAGACACAGGTACAGGTACAGACACAGGTACAGACACAGGTACAGACACAGGTACAGACACAGGTACAGACACAGACACAGGCACAGACACAGGAACAGCTACAGACACAGGTACAGACACAGGTACAGGTACAGACACAGGTACAGACACAGGTACAGACACAGGTACAGACACAGGAACAGGTGCAGACACAGGTACAGACACAGGTACAAACACAGGTACAGACACAGACACAGGTACAGACACAGGTACAGACACAGGTACAGACACAGGAACAGGTGCAGACACAGGTGCAGACACAGGTACAGACACAGGTACAGACACAGGAACAGGTGCAGACACAGGTACAGACACAGGTACAAACACAGGTACAGACACAGACACAGGTACAGACACAGGTACAGACACAGGAACAGGTGCAGACACAGGTACAGACACAGGTACAGACACAGGTACAGACACAGACACAGGCACAGACACAGGAACAGCTACAGACACAGGTACAGACACAGGTACAGGTACAGACACAGGTACAGACACAGGTACAGACACAGGTGCAGACACAGGTACAGACACAGGTACAAACACAGGTACAGACACAGACACAGGTACAGACACAGGTACAGACACAGGTACAGACACAGGTACAGACACAGGTACAGACACAGGAACAGGTGCAGACACAGGTACAGACACAGGTACAGACACAGGTACAGACACAGGAACAGGTGCAGACACAGGTACAGACACAGGTACAGACACAGGTACAGACACAGGTACAGACACAGGTACAGACACAGGTACAGACACAGACACAGGTACAGACACAGGTACAGACACAGGAACAGGTGCAGACACAGGTACAGACACAGGTACAGACACAGGTACAGACACAGGTACAGACACAGGTACAGGTGAAACAC